AAGAACCAAAGAAAGGGAACAAGATGCCGAGACCTTGTGATACTTCAGTCTGGTTTAATTAATGACTGTGTCATGGGTGATGAAGTTGAAGAATTGGCCCTACTGTGGGGTGCCTTGCTAGTAATGAGTTGCTTAGTTTTGGTTCAGTTCTGTAAACGATTGCTATTCTTGCATGTAAATAGTATCAAGAACTTGCTGTGTTTTTCTTCCCATTTTTTGGGTATTTCACACAGGTTTTTAGAGTTTTCTCCATTCTTCTCCCTAAAAATAAAAAAAATAAAATGGAAAGGGGAGTGGAATCCTAAAAAAAAATAAATTACTTCAAATACTGGGAAAAACTCTGATAGAAACTGTGTAAAACTTAACTTTTTTTGCATGGTTTGAGAATGAGAAATGGCCAAACTGGTCAAAAGCAGATTTGCACTGTAAAACTAAAACTTTAAGGGACTGATACATCTTTTTTAAAGGAAGGAACATATTGTCTGAGCACTTAGCTTCATGTATGGCTTTCAAGTGAGATGGCAGAGTTGGAAGTATTCAAATCTTAGAGTTAGAACGGAGGGTGGTAGTATTGTTTCTCACTCCTCCAGTACTGTTCTTGCCATTTCCCCTTCTGAAGCTGTGGCCCAAATACAGTTGCTTGGTTCCTTCAGATTCTTTGCTTTCGTTTCTTCCTCCAGTCTTTTCTTTCATTTTTTTATGTTGACAGATAAAAAGAATAGGAAATACAATTGAATATGAAAAATTAGTATCTTTGAAATTGTCTGTGCTATGCCACCCTGTATGGGTCTTACCACAGCGGGTGAGGTGTAGTAGGAAGCAGTTGCTATGGTAAAAGAAGTCATCTATCATTGGTAAAACACTTGATGTTAACATCTGAATTATCATTAGGCTTCAAAGTTGAGATGAATGAGGCAATTCACACCTCTCAAAGCTATTTTACTTCATCTCCCTGTAGATAGGCAGCCTTGTATTGATTTGCATTTGAACTGTACAGGGCTAGAAATCTCCATCTTTCATTTAAAAACAATGTCAGTTTTGTTCTGAACACTATAATATAGAGTGCTATATGCCCGTCTTTCAGTTTAGTCTTTCCACCATATGTGGTTTCTGTGGCACATTCCTCAAGTACTGTAAGGCAGAGTTCTTTGGCAGTGAAACATATTCAATTGTAGGTGCTTTGTGGATGTGTTACAGGATTTTCCATTCCTGTGTACGTGTTCCTCCCTTCTTATTATTCCAGTGTAGTCGGTGTTCTGTTCCTTTGGTCCACGCACAAGGCAGGTTCTATGGGGTACAAGTCGAGGTGGCAAGGCTCATGTGTATAGAGATGCAGTAATCTGTGGTGTAGGGCAGAAGATGGTTTGGAAATTAGGCCAAAAACTGGCATACAACAGCAGTGAGAATCAGGCAAGCAACAGAAGGAAGCAGGGGAAACTCAGACAAAAAGAACAACAGGCCTATCAACACTCTGTTGTGCAGATGCTGCCCTTAAGACCTGTATATTTTGCAGAGTTTATGCTCTGGAAGCTGATCAGGGCCAGTGCCTGATGGTCTCCAGCTCTCCCACAGCCTGTGGTACTTGCTGGTGCTGCCAACTCTGGAGTTGTGACATCTCTTTGCTTCTTACTGTTCCCCCCATTCAATGTTTCCACCCTCCTTGAATTTGCTGGCATAAATCCTGTGTGGTCAAAATGGTCCTTCCATTTTGTGGTTCCCTAAGAGGCAGTTTGGGGAAAGCATGTAAGAAAGTCCTAGAGATAGATCAATTGCTGAAATGATGCTGTTGATAAGCTCTCTTCCCACGTTCACAGTTAGTGCTTTTTCTCTCATGTATGGGATGGCTTTGTTCCTAAAGTTCAAGGACAGAGAAGAGATTCAGAGCAGCCCAAGGAGAAGGACTTGGGGGTGCTGGTCGATGAGAAAATGAACATGAGCCGGCTTCAGTGTGCGCTTGCAGCCCAGAAAGCCAACCATATCCTGGGCTGCATGAAAAGGAGTGTGACCAGCAGGTCGAAGGAGGTGATCCTGCCCCTTTATTCTGCTCTCATGAGACCTCACTTGGAGTAGTGTGTGCAGTTCTGGTGTCCTTAACATAAAAAGGACATGGAACTGTTGGAACAAGTCCAGAGGAGGGCATGAGGATGATCAGGGGACTGGAGCACCTCCCATATGAAGATAGGCTGAGAAAGTTGGGGCTGTTCAGCCTGGAGAAGAGAAGGCTGCGTGGAGACCTCATAGCAGCCTTCCAGTATCTGAAGGGGGCATATAGGGATGCTGGGGTTGGACTCTTCATTAGGGACTGTAGTGATAGGACAAGGGGTAATGGGTTAAAACTTAAACAGGGGAAGTTTAGATTGGATATAAGGAGGAAATTCTTTCCTGTTAGGGTGGTGAGGCACTGGAATGGGTTGCCCAAGGAGATTGTGAATGCTCCATCCCTGGCAGGGTTCAAGGCCAGGTTGGACGAGGCCTTGGGTGATATGGTTTAGAGCGAGGTATCCCTGCCCATGGCAGGGGGGTTGGAACTTGATGATCTTAAGATCCTTTCCAACCCTAACTATTCTATGATTCTATGACTTTGCCCTTAAGGCTGTCTTCCTATTGTTGATGGGCAATGTACATACTAAGCAGAGGAGGTGGTTGCTGCAGCACCGTGGGGTGTTGTCTGTCTCTGAGGTCAGAGTTGTGGCACATAACCCGAGTCTCATGGTCATACAGTGTGCTCTTCATGCAGTGTGCTCCTCAGTCACTAATGGTTCATTGTGCTCTTCTCTTATTTTTCTGTTGAAGAGAGCATTTTGCATTAAGATGAAAGGGAGAAACTAAAATTAGTATCAGAGTTATTAAAGACTTCAAGATATTACTAATCAGTTCTAATTTAATCTCAGCACCCAGGCATATATAATACTGAAAACCTTTATTAGGTTTCTATAATTGTGTTAAAAGTAATACCCCCAGGCTAGTATTGAAGCAAATTAAATTGCCAAGCTCTGTACATTGACAGTACTGACCTGATAGCACTGCTGGGGGAGCGGGTTTTGCTCTTTGTTTAATGCTCAGTGTTTTACATCAGGCTCCTTAACTGTCAGGGCCTTAGTGCTGTTTCTATTTAAGAATGCCTTCTGTGTCATTTTGGCTCTGGACCAACAAAACCTTATCTTCAGGCTTATTGAAGGAGATAGCAGGGTGGGGAAGCCCCAGGAGTGCAGTTCCAGTGGAGATATCCATGTACTTCTTCAGGTTTTCTGGAGGAGGTACATGTTATTGTGGTGCCTCTGTTCAAATGGGAGTGCTAGGCAGAGCACATAGGTGTATGTAGCTTCCTTGTCAGGACCAGCATGCAGTCAGCACTGAACACTTTGTATTCCAACCCCTTCTGGTACAGGTTTTTTTGCAAAAACTTTTCAAACAGAAATTCAGAGGGGTGATAGAAGAAGAAATGCTCCCAGTAACAGCAGCCTGGCCCTGCAGATGCTGAGTAACATTTGCAACCCCTCTGCTCCAACAACTATTTGCAAACTGACTTAGTTCCTCAGCAGTGTGTACTGTATCTTCACATGTGCTTCGTGATGCCAGCTAGGAGAAGTGATCCTTCCCTCACTCCCATTTCCTTGTGACAGAACAAACATATGTTGATGGGGTGAACTGGATCATGGAGCCAATCCAAGTTAAAATTAGCCTAGCCGAGAAGCTAATTTCAACCTGGGACAGCTTCTGTGGCAGATGAGAGCAGGTGAGCATGCAGCCCTGGTGCTGCTGCTTTTAGCAGCCTGCTGGCTTATGCCAGCGTGCAGAGGTCTCATCTCGAGAGCTTTCATCAGGGTTTAGGACTTCTGGTTTGAGTGCGTAGAGTTGTTTTTTCCTATTTTTGAGATTACATCCAAGTGGGAAACAAATACACAAACAAAATTGTATCTTGAATCAGCCCAGTCTGTGACAACTTTGTGAATTGGTATGAAAGTGAAGGTAAATCAAAGTATTTCACTTTGGTTTTGACCTTTTTGATGTAAATTGGCTGCTGTTTCAAATGAGAGATGTTGTAAACTGGGAACGATGTTTTCAAGTCAATCTAGCAAGGAGAATTATATGCGAGTCCTCCCTGCAGTTCTTGTCCGAACGAGCTGTTGACCTGGAGCTGCCCCTGAGCAGAGCTTGGTGGTTTGGATGCTTCTCTACTGATTTTCCCATGTGCTTTCTTGTACCCTCTTGTTTTTCATCATCAGCTGTATGTGGAACCTTGCTCTGTGTTAACATGCAAGTCCAGATGCTTGTCTATCCGGAATTCTGTAAAGCCTTTGTCACAGTCCCCCACAAAATCCTTCTCTCTAAATTGGAGAGAGTTGGATTTGATGTGTGGACTGCTCAGTGGATGAGGAATTAGCTGCATAGTTGCACCCAGAGGGTAGTGGTCAATGGCTCAATATCTGGATGGACACCAGTGGCAGGTGGCATCCCTCAGGGGTCCATATTGGGACCAGTACAGTTTAGTGTCTGCATCAACAACATAGCCAGTGGATTGAGTGTGCCCTCAGCAAGTTTACAGATGACACGAAGCTGGGTGATGCAGTTGACATTCTGAGGGACAGGAAGCCATCCTTATTGTCTTATTTAAGACACTTCCATTCTTTTTGTGTGTGTGTGTGTGTGTGTGTGTGTGTGTGTGTGTGTGTGTGTGTGTGTGTGAGCTGCTTAGGAGTTCAAAGATTTCTGAGAGACTTTCTCCAGTGTGAGAGGTGAGCAGATGGTTCCTCAGGGCACTACACAGGTGAATATAAATCCTAATTTGAGACATGGTTTCCCCTCAGATCCAAGTTATGATGCTCTTAGAACAAGGAGAACAGTACAAATGTTGACCTTTGAATGTGCATCTTTTGGGATTCTGCTGTGTCTTTGACTGCGTTCTAAACATGTTGGTTGTTTTGGCCTGATACAATATTATTTTTATGGGATAGGTTGAAAGGTTTTCTAATTATTGTATTTTTCTTGTTTGCTTTCAGAGTCAGGTTTACAGATCTGTCAACACAGAGCACCAACTTGCTGCACCAAAAAAATGGAAGAAAGCTACCAGGCAGCTGTTCGAAGGGAGAGGACTCAAAGTATCCAAGCACTGAACTTTGAACTGAAGTACATGATTGTTGGTCACATCACAGCTTTTCAAGGTAGGAACTTTTGAGGTGCTGCAGTTCTATGAGTAGTTTATAAAAGTATCCTCTGTAATCAAAAGGAAAACTCTTTGTTTCTTTGGCATTGCATGCTGTACTTATTGGCTTATGGATTTACTTCCCTGTTCTTTGATCCTGCTTTTTGGATGGCACTTAATCTTGACTGGTATTTTAAGCATCTGCCTGAGTTTAATTTGGAACAGATTTAAGTTTAGACCTTATCCCTGGGAATCATTTTAAAAAAGATTGGTGTGGACTTTTTCAAGGCATTTTCAAATGTCATTCAGGTGTTTGATGGTTGGTTGTGTGTTTTGATACTCTCTTGTGTTGCCAAAGCACTTATAGGTGTAAATGAAAATGCATTTATTTGTTGATGCTGAAGAATAAGTACCCTAACTGATATGTCAAATGAAAACACAGCTCTCTCTTCATGTCAAGATGTTTCACTGCCACGCAGGTGACATGAAGAGTGATCGGTTTCAAGAATTATGGCCACAGAGTTGAATGTGAATGCATGAAGGAACCAGTGTTGTGGAAGTCTTTTCTTATAACTCTTGCCATTCTCAAAGCTAACAGTCCTAACAGGTTGATGTAGGTCTATGTAGTTTCTTCATGCAAATAGTTATTGTATTATGAAAGGGAGAAGACGTTTGGGTAGGACTGAGCACTCTACAGTGGTGAGCACTGGAGACTTTTGCTCCAGAAAGGGATTTAAGCATAGGCTGTAATCTTCAAATATAGAAGAGTTGAGTAATTACATTGATCACTGAGTGATGAATCCAGCTTACTGACTTCTGTGGACCTAATTATGTGCTTAATTTTAACTCACTGCTTTGCTATGTTTAGTGCTGAGCACTCTCATGCAGTGAGTTTTGAAAACAAGGCAGTGGTTATTAAAATACAAAGTGTTGAGATCTGTATGACTAAGCCCATTGTTAGAAACCAAATTTTATCATAGGAGCTGTTTTGTCCGGTTTCTTCCATTTGGGTGAAAATACTATGAATAAAAGATGTGGAATTAGATGATCTTAAGGTCCTTTCCAACCCTAACCATCCTGTGATTCTATGAGTTTGACAAGAAGCGATTGTACAAGCCCGAAAGAGATGTGTAAGGGCAAGGTAAAAATTGGCTTCTGGTTTTAGTTGTTTACCTCTTTCCTTTGTTTTATACCAGTGAGTGAGAAATGGCATTTTGGTTTATTTTGCAATTAATTTCTGTAATTTTCTTAATATCCCCATGATCAAAAAATTAGGTTGGAGGGCACTTCAGAGGAGCACTGCAATGAAAGGGTAACTGTTGGTGCTGTAAAATGCTGGTAGGTTATTCAAGCAATCTTTCAGTACTATGATTGAATAAAGATAAGGTCAGAATAGATTAACCTATCAGCCCTTTTAGGTCAAGCCTGCAGCTTTATTGTCCATTGCTAATGAAGCCTTTTGATGGCATGAAAGAATTAGTTGGACATTTCACACAGTTTAAATTTACAAGCATTTTCTGGAAGTGGGTAAATAGGTTGTTTGTTGTAACTTGTTATGGCTGGCCTTCTGTCTGCATTAAGTTGGAGCACTTAAAAAATGGAACTTTTCTCTCTTGCATTGGGAGCTGCTTTTGTTCTTTGCTTTTCTCCCAGCTGTCAGTGAAAAGCCTCTCTCTTATCTCGTGCTCTATAAACATTCTGTTGCTAAGAGTAGTACTGTGTGAGACATTGACTAGAGGGAAGATCTTTGCCTGAAATTAACTCTCTCCTTTCAGTCTGTTTTGGTTTGTTGCTGTTTTGAATGATAAAGTGTGAGTGTGCCAGAAGCACATTTCAAGTCTGAGAAAAGAAATATCCTTATTTTAGTAGCTTTCTGGTGCATTTCAGGTTTTCTGTTTCTTGGAGCAGTGAAAATTGGTCCAGACTTGCTAAAAAGGTAGACAAGCAATTTATCCATTTTTAATGGTGTTTACTTGTACATTTTTCATGCACAATTTACCTTCTCTTATATGTACACATCTTTAGTACTGTTAGTGTAGTCAAAGCAAAGCAGTAGTTATCTTTGCTCCCTACTGCTAAGGAGAAGAAATCTTAACTGCTTTTTATTTACTTTTAGTAGACAATACTGTTAGTATTACACCCATACTGATGGAGTCATTTTCAAGACTTAATGTGTGGTACAAGAAATGCATTTTTGAGAACATAGTGGTGGGAATGAAATTTCAGTGAGAAGAGGGCAATGTTTGTGGAGTGGGGATCAGAGAGAATGTTTTAAGTTCTCCTCCCCTTATATTCTTTCATGTAAGTCAAAGGACACTTATCTCTGAGGACTTGCAGTTAGGTACCACAGGTATTAATAGGAAAGAGCTTTCTTATCTGAGTAGGAGTTTTGATATAAGTTTTGTTAAACACTCACCCTTCACCACCTGGAATACTACAATTGACTGTGGGTGTTTTGGACTTAGAGATTTTTGTGGTGTGGTTTTTTTTTTTCCTTTTGTAAATGAAAATGTTCTTGAAGTAGCTTTGCTCACAGCTGAAACAGGACAATTTTCACATGTGGTGGATGTAGCTGTGCAAAATAATCAGTCTGTAAGACTTGATTAAATACACCACAGGCTTGCTATATTTAGGCTAATGCCCAGTCCATACACATGGACAGCCTTAGCACTAGAGGTTTGTTCCACTTTCAAAGTTGCCAATATTGGCAGCCCAGTCCTTGCTCAAACACTTGATGAATCGAGCTTCTGCATGGATATATTTTACCTCAACTACTGTCTCCAGTGCTGTTGCTGCCTGATTTGAGTAGGAACAGGCACACTGGCATCAGCTGCAAGCCCTAAGATGCTCTTGCCATTAGTAGCAGGGCAGGACAAAGGGAAATAGGGAGGAATGAAAGGGGCAGCTCACTGCTTGGGAAGCATGTTATCAGAATCAGCTCCTGAAAATTCTACACTGTCACCAAATCTTTTGGGTGTTTGCCATGGTGAATATAACCATGCCCCAGGGTCAGGGTTTCATGGAAAGCTGCTGGATTCACTTTCTCTTAGTGTTTGGTCTGTGGTATAGCCTGAAAGTCATAATCATGGTATTAGTCACTCTACAGATGTTCTAGTAATGACTCTGTTCCAAATGGAGTCAAAGGCAAGGTGAAGTAAGGGGATGAGAAGTGTAAGCATGCCAGGATGCAACAGGAATAGCATAACAGAGGAGAACATGCCTGTTGTAATGATCCCAGTATGTCACCCTATGGTTCTTCACCAGTGGCTTTGGTTTTAGGTGCATTTTGGAATGGGTCTGTTTGTCCCATCGAAAATTTGCCCATCAGAAATGTCTCTGCTCCTGAAATGTGTGGCTGCAGCCTGAAATGCCCAGTAGAACCATTGAAATGAAGGATCAAATAGGTTGCTTTCATTTTGTAACTCACTTTGCCCTTTGGTAACCCAAAGTATCTCTTTTGAAGTTACTGGTTTATTTGTCCCAAACTTTTTTAGGCTTGCATGTGAACAAATGTATTGGTTTAGCTTAGATTTATGCCTGTAATCATACTACGTGTTACTTGGCACAGTCATCCTTCTGTTACTCACCCCCTCTCAATTTCTTCATATGCAGTCCCTGGGCTCTTCAGGGACACTTCCAAGCAAGGCAACTGCTTCATTGTTAGTGGATTAAAAGTGGTGTGGGTGTGCAGGCTGAAAGTTGCTGTCAGAAGAGGTATCAATAGCCTGATGGGAAAGCTTTGTTGTGGGCAGACAGCAGCAAGAAATCTGGCCTCCCTTTTCTGTGTCCTTTATGTAGTGCTAACAGGTGCTATATAAGCACCCACAGGACACTTGGCTCTGCTTCTGTCATCTTATGCTGAGGCTAATTTGAGGTAATGAAAACCCAAGCACTGGTAATTTATTTGTTCTGTTGATGGTCTCTGCAGAGAGGCAGAACAAGATAGTTTGAAAACTACATCACATTTCAGTCACAAAATTAGCAGGTATCAGAGATACAGTGAAAGTCTTTGTTTGAGCTCAGCAGTTGAAGAAAAATCAGTTACTCTTCTTTGCTGCACTCTTTGCTTTTACAGCAGGCAATAGGCATTGTTCACTCACAGCCTCTGAAGAGAAAGCTCATGAATGGAAGCATGTTGGTCATAAAGCAATAGTTTTGTGGTGTTTCTCTGAAATCCCATTCATTTAACCTCTGGGCGTCAAATGGCAGGGCCAGATGCTCATATATTTTCCCAGCTATAGATCAGCTTTGTAGCACTCTCTTCCTCTTGCTCCTAACTCAAAAGGTTTGGCAAAGCTGTGCTTATGTTCCACTTTATATAGAATGGGGAGATGTTGAGAAAGCTCCTTGCTGCTATTTCTAATAACTGGTGTTGCAGTGCTATTGCTGTGTGCACACATTGTTTTGCCCTGTTATCTATCATCTGATTCAAGCAAACAACTGGGAAGGATGTGACTGGTACAAGGCAGAGGGGGTGACCTTTGTAGCAGTGATGGGACTCCTGAATGTTAGTAAAATGACTGAAAATTAATGTCCAGTTGATCCCCAAAGTCCTTAAGCACAAAGCTTTTGATCTGGCAAATCAAATCTGATCACCTCCTTGGTGAATGCAAATGGTCATCTGGTTTCTGTGTGTCTTGGCGATGGATAGCTCTAGTGTGTCCAATAACCAAGTGACCTGACCATTCACAGAAAGAATATAGTACACTGGCACTCAGAGCTAGATGGAGTCAAAACCATTCTCTAATTTGGCTGAGTTGCAGTGTTGCTGACACTTTGACTGAATTTCAGAATATCAGCCTGAATCAGGGGTGTCTGCTTAATGCGTTGAAATGCAATGAAATGCACAAACCAAAAAAGCCTTGGCTGGAGAAGTGTACTCTGGTTTGTAGTTAACTACTATATGAAGTGTAGTCACAATGCCGGAGATGGATGCAGTCCAAAATCAATGAGCTATTTAAAAAGGAAAAAGCCAACCATCACCAACTGAAACCTTCCAGCCACCACCAATGCCTCTGG